CTTCACATGCTCCAGCAGATGATAGATGAGCTAGATCTAGGGCAGGACAAGTCATAACCCTGAGTCTGGGCCTGGGTAGCTGTAGGGTTTGTTTACCAGATGGGAAATGGAGAAGGCTGTCCCATGCTCACAATTTCGGGGTGGCTCACCCACACCTCCACTAAAAGGGTTGGATCTGTGTGCTGCCCTGGCAGGGCATAGAGCCTGCTCTCCCAAGTGTTACAGCTGGTGGGCGTCAGGGATAGCTCTCTCTAATTCTTGTCTAGCAACATAAACATTGATTGGGTGCTCACTAACTTAGATATGTAGGCAATACATTTTAAATGATTTAAATCTGAATTTGTAAATTGGCTCATTTTTACTGGCCCTTATTCCATTTTTTTTTTCTCAATAAGAGACAAAGAAGAAAGATAACTTTGTTTACAAAATTAAAGTAGATAACTAGGATTTCTGATAAATTTATTTTAAAAGATGACTTATAAAATACACTAAAATTGATTATAAAAAATCAAAATCTAAAATATTTCAAAAGTGTAACTTCTAAGAATATGTATTGAACTAAAATATTTACACAGAATTATCAAAGACACACATTCTATAGTATATTATTGACTAATGGGGTACTTAGCTAGCTTATAAAAATAGTATAAATACATGCAAACTGGTATCCAAAATGTAGCTGCAAGGTGGACAGAATTTTCAACCCTGTTTACATAAAAGTCATCCTCATGATCTTAATTTTAGTGGTTATATATTTCAATATCTAGGTGTCATGTTTAGCTTACTCTGATTTCCTGCTCCTTAAATAAATTTGTATCAGATTTTCTGACATGTTTTGTTTGTCATAAATGTTTATAGAAACCTCAATTTAATCTGACAGTGTAAATATCCTATATGAATAGCTCCAACCTTTAAGAAGACTTGATAAAGTTTAGAATACATTTTCATATGCATACATGTATACATACATGCATAATACATACATATATATATATATATGTCTATAGCTACACTACAGAGTAAAGAAGTATTTTGTTTTTACCTATTCAGAAGGTAACAAATAAGTCATAACTCATAGAAATAAGTTATGTTTTGGTAAATGCAATATGACACTTTTTCCTCTTTCTCTAATCTTTTGTTCATTTCTATTTTTTAATTAAACTAATGAACCAAATTTAGATATTTGTTTTTGATTGGTTCTTTAGCTACATTTCATACTTTATAAGAAATCATTATTTTTGAGCGCAATTACTTTCTAAGCATTATATAGTACAACCTTTTAACATGTTCTATGATTCAGGAATTAATTAGATTTTCTCTATTTATGTTAACTGACTACATAGAAACTATTTTATTTGTGTACTGTTTTGTGAAAAGTCTGTAATGTTTACATTTCAATCAATGCTGTTTTCCTTTTGAATTTTAAGTTTATCTATAATTTCGAGGCTTAATGGAGACTCACTTTTAAATATATTGCCCAGACATCATCTCAGATGGCCAAATAGAGGGCTTCCTATCAGCATGTTTAAAGGACTGACAGTTGTCTAAATAGATTTTCAAAAAAGCCAAGAACATGAATAAACCCGTCACGGAAATATGGATTTTTCTGTTGTTGAGAAAGTGGTTTTGGCAAAAGATTAGGCCAGAGTTGGTTTGGTTGGCTGCCATTTCTGACACTGTAATGGTTTATCCTAAGCCATCCAAGTTCTCCAGACTGTCAACCACATTATAAGAACAAATATATTCTAGTTGCCTCATGGTCATCAGTCACCCTTTCTTTGATTTGACAAATTTGGTTTAATTGAGGCTGCCAGAAATCAGCTGCCTAAGGAGGCCCCTTTTCCTCAAACAGAGGTAGCAAATTGATGGGCAAGGAGAAGAATGATCATAAAATGCATTTATTGCTTAAACAGGATTCATTCAGCAGTGAAAACGGCATTCGTAGTGCTTATTTATTTAGGAGCAAATGCCTTGGGAAAGTTGTGAGTTATGATCTCTGTAATCTAAAAACAGCCTACAGATGAGTTGATGTGAACAGTATTCAAATGAGCTGGCAACAGTTACAAGCAAGAAGAGGTTACACAGGAAATCATATTGCCCATTTCTTTTTGAGAATTATCAAGAAATTCCAACACTAAAAGACACTGGTTTGTTTCTCAGGGGTGGAGTTTCAGAGACTGACTTTAGTGTACAGCATGTTAATTAAACTGTCTTGTATCAAAACCTGTGAATGCTAGAATGGAAATCAGCTGGCTAAAAGTGTGTGTGTGTGGGGGGGGGACTCAGTGAAAGCCTGGCTTGATTCTAGGAAGCACTGCTGTGCAGAGAGCCCAACATGGTGCCCATTTTTATATTCTACCTTAAACTGATGATGGTTTTATGCATACTGGTAGAGGCAACAGTTTGCAGTAGAATCAATCAACAAAAGAGCTTATAATTGAAGCATTTTCTCCATAGCTGAAGTCCTTTAAGTGGTATCTAAATGGTGCATCAATCAGTTCACTACAATGTATCATTACTTGTTAGGAAAATGGCCAACAAGACATAAGAGGAATCTTCTTGTTTCCTTCATATTTTGGAGCAATCTTGCCAATGTTTTCTACTTGCTCAAGTCATGCTTCACTAACAACTATGTGCTATCTATATGAATTTTAACCATTGACCGGTAGTCCAAAATTTTCATTAGCCTATGTGAGGTGCTAGGAGCATGCTAACACTAATGCTTTTAAATTCTTCAGCAATGATAATAGCTTGTAGTGGGTAGCCATTCCAGCTTTGATCTGGAAGTTCCAACCCCCATTGAGGCTTCGGTAACTGTCACGCCTACAAGGCAGGCCAAGAGAGGACCCTGATGACCCAAGATCCGCATGGGCCAGCTCTCTTGGTTCCTGGACCCTGGACGCTGGAGGTAGACCAAGCAGAGTTCTCCAGAGAACATCACCGGACTGTGCCACACCTTTCCCAGACCCTGTTACTTATCCCTTCACTTGTAAGTTACCCCACAATATAAACCTCCCTTTTAACTACATGGAGTGGCTTTAATAATTTCACCAATTATGGCAGCATTTGCAATCCAGCCAGGCATACTGCTCTAAGCAGACATATTTGATGGCTCTTTATTTGAAATAAAGTTCAGGACTTTGTCTATAATTAGTTCTTCAGAAACAATGCAGTGCACTAACTGTGACATAAATGTAAAATACAAATAAAGTAATTTATGCCAAAATGATAGAATTTATACATAAGAATCCTGCATTCCATTTCATTGAATATAGTAAATGGCTGTTAACATGGCTCAGAAGTTAAGAGTCCTGGCTGCTCTTGCAGAAGACCTGGGTTTGGTTCCCAGAACACCCAAACTGTTTATAACCATTCATAAGTCCAGTTCCAAGGGATTGGATGCACTCTTCTGACCAGGCATACACATGGTATATTAACACACATCCATCCATCCATACACAGACACACACACACACACACACATACACACACACACACACACACACACACATTCAGGCAAAGCAACAATATGCAAAAAAGTAAAATAAAAGAATTTTAAACAGACTAATGAATGAAATACTGAAATATATGTGAATGCAGGATATAAAGCAAGTATTGTTTGATGCCAGACTCTTGAGAACATTGTCAGATTTCTATCACTTGGTAGTACAAATTCGTAATACCTTTCAATTGATAATGCTTTCACACTAGGACACCCACACTAACATCTGCTGGGTCAAAGAGCTTTAATCAAATTTACCATTCTGCTTGTCAATCCTGCCCATTTTAGCTAATCCCTAGTGGTCCATCATCCCGTTGTTTTCACATTTAGCCCCAGTGTTACAGGAAGATGATTTCTCAGTCTGTCCAGAACTTCATCTAACCAATATCCATCAAACATTCCTCATAGTTTCTGGCACATATAAAATGATGTATATTTGCTTCCATGGGTGATACAGCTTAAACCCAATTTCATATTTCCTCATTTCTTTGGCTATTTCTTATAAGCTAGAAAGGAAATGTTCAAACGTATGAATTCATGCCAACACATTTCTGGGAAGCCCTGAATATTTAATTCAGCAAATGGAAACATTCATTTTAGGAAGATCTTGTTATCCTAATCTGATATTGAGTATTTCCTTCAGGAGAAAGCATTCTCTAGGCATATAGAGAAGATAATTTTGACTGTCATTTTTCCAATACGATTATATAAACCTCACTAAAAATGCTTGGAGACTTATGTGTTGTCCTTAGAGTACAGTCTTAATGCATGCAGGATGTTAATAAAGTGAGATGACCACATGGCAATGAAGCATTGGTGCAAGGACTGCATTTCAGTTCCACTTTTAACAGTAACTAGCTGTGCAAAATTGGGTGAAATATTTAAGTTTTCTTGCCTCCATTTTCCATCTGTGAAATTACTGAGTTGAAAAACATGATCTCAATGGACACTTTCAGTCAAAAATCACACTTACTCTGTTTTCATGATTACCTTTTTATACATTTTTCAGTTGCTAAATTGGCAAGCAATAAGGGTTTGAGAGATTTTTTTTTTCTTTTTGGAAAGCTTTCAGCACTATTTTGCAAATGCAGATGTTTGGTTACATATAGGATTTCCCTAATGTCTGATAATATATGACCTCAGCTGCCTTCAAGCAGATTATCCATCTGCTAGCTTATGTTGACTCCAAAAAGATAATTTTAAAATGTCTTCAGGAGAGTAGTTGCTGGAATATGACATGTCATCAGACATGGGAGGCATGACCCATTCAGTGTGGATAGAAAGGGTCAGGAAGCCCAGGATCTGAGTGGTGTGGGGCAAAGGCTGAACCATCAGAACGCTGACTGTGGAGGAATCTGTACCAGCACTAGAGAATATCCAGAGAGCCCACAGCAGATGATAGGAAGTAATTGCAGACTGGTTTCTATGATGAGTCTAAAATACATTAAGCAAGTCGATGTTGACTAATCCTGGTACGTGTTACTCTTTGACTACTTACAGAAGACCTGTCATATTTCTCTGAAGAGAAAAACTGAAATCAGGCCCCCGACTTCCCTTCTGGACCAGAGGTGAGTACCCGGGTCCAACCCGGACCCCATCCCTGGGCACCAGCCACTCCGGGGAGGCCCGCACAGCTTGGCGCCGGGTTCTGGCCACCGGGCAGCTCCCCTTCTAGCCCTACCGGGAGGGATCCCCTTTTCCAA